GTGTTCTCCAAATTTATACATGGAAGCTTTGAATCTTATGAAAATAGACAGCTGGGGAAATAATTCAGTTGGTAAAATACTAAAAATGCAAACATGAGGACATGAGTTTAATTCCCAGAACCCACATAAATATCAAAGTGTGGTAGCTCAGGCTTGTAATACCACTGCTGAAGGCACAGAACTAGCCAGATCCCTGGACCTGACTGTCACCCCCTCTAGCCCACTTTGTGAATTACAAGCCAATGAGGGACTGTATTAAAACAAAACTGGACATCATCTGACGAAGAACAGAAGTGAACATCTTCTGACCTACACACACACACACACACACACACACACACACACACACACACACACAGAGAGAGAGAGAGAGAGAGAGAGAGAGAGAAAGAGAGAGAGAGACTTTATGAGACCATGATCAGAGATAAGGTTTTAATAAAGTAATTAATAATTAACGTTAAAGAATGTTATAATGGTAGGGTCTTAACCCATTAGATTTGTTTTAAAAGAAGAGGAAAGTTCAAATTTCACCCAGTTCTCCAAAAAGGAAGAGGCATGGGAACACACTTCTGATAAAGTGACTTGGCAACAATCTAACATGACAACATCTGAACTAAGTCAATTTTGACACATGAACTAGCCTCGGGCCTGAGAAAGTTAATGTCTGTTGTCTGAACCATTTAGTTTACTACAGTATTTTGTTGAAGCATCTTGAGCAATTTGGCATCTCCTCTTTTATTTTTTGAGACATAATGTGTAAATTCATTACTAAGTCTTGAAAAGACTAAGATAGTTATCATGAGTAGAAAATATGCTGGGATATCACTATTATGCAATTTAAGCTTATGAATTGAAGTTCCTTAATAGTTATAAAATCATCTGAAGTTTCTATTTATGGTTTTGTTACTGATGACTAAATAAGGTCACACATGTACATTGCAGTAAAGGTCTTTTACTATCACATTTGAGATAGTAGTCCATTTAACTTATTTGTTTAAATCATGTGTCTAAGATTGTTCACAGTAGTCTCTTATCACACTTTTGAAGGCTACAAGGGTTATAGTTATGCTTTCTACTCTATCCTCTTCATGTCTATCAGGCATATGAGGAGTAAATCAATATAGTTAAGTATTTTAAAGAACACACTCTCATTTTAATCACTTCCTTGCTTTGTCCTTTTCACCACTTTTTGGTTCTGCTTCAATCTTTCTCCTTTTCTCCTCCTTGCTTTAAATTATTATTTCCTTTATTTAAATGAGAATTCAATATTGCTCATGACCTTTCATTTGGGCAATGATTTTGATTTTAACTATTCATTTTGATAGGTTCCATTTTAGCATGTACCCTTTCTATACATTATTTTCAACCCTATGAGGGTGTTCTCATCCATAGAACATTTAGTGAGTTCTTTGTATTTGAAATTTTTCCTTTAAAATTCATTATTTTCTTATTTTATTCCTTTATATTTTAAAATAGCGTAAGAACTTAATATTGAAAATAATTTTAGATTGTCTTCCAACGTAATTTATATATAGCATATATTTGTTTTGTGAATGCCCCACCATGGACTTGAAAACATTGCCTACTTATAGTCTAAAGTAGTCTACACACACGAAGCACCAAATTGTGCTTCAATCTGACAATATCACACATGCAATTTTGTCATTTTTATGCTTCATCACCAACTTTCACTTAGCAACTCAAACTGAATCTCTGCACCTTCTTTGAATTTAGCATCTTGGAATGGATTGATTTCTACACATTCTCCTTTCAGTCATTCAGTTTCTTTCATTTCTACTTGGGAGAACATTATTGTTTCTAGGGGGCAAATAATAGTTCTGCTACCAACTATTTCAGTTAGTGTTTTTGTTGTTGACTAAATACGGAATTTCAGCACTCTGCTGATACCAAGGATGAGTGAAAGTAGAATACTGATAGCTGATTCTGTTAGTGCTTGGTTAATTATCATTGACACAAGGGTGAGTGGAAGTTCAGGTTCTCAGTGAGCCTTCCTGTCACAGTCAAAAAGGAAAAAGGTAATGCATTTGGGTGATAGACTGCTCTTAAGAGTATTTTTAAGTCTATCTCTTGATTGAGTCCAAGTGAAGGTGGACATTAGCCTTGCCAAAGAATGAGACTATGTTATTAGTTCCAGCCTCTGAGAAAGTGGACAAACATATTCCACTTTCACTCCATTGTAATAGTGTGTGACAACATTAAACAAGGGAGAGTCTTTAGATGTCTTGCTGGAGTAAGAAATGTATTTTCATAAAAGGTTTTCTATTGTTAGACCCAGAACCCTTGCCTAGGAAAAAAACAGGTTTTCTTTGAGATTTTATCACCTGCCCTCATGGAGGTTTCTGGGTCAGAGGCTTCTTCAGTTTTCTGCACAGGACTTCAGTGAGGGGCACAGGGGAATTTGCTACCTTATCTTTCTTTTAGTTAGGTAGTTCAGTATCTATCTCACAATCCTCTATCATTTATAGATTTCCATTATTTGCCAGTTGGGCTGCGTAGGTTTTTCTTAAAATGTATTTTTGGTTTTGTCTTAAGAGGGAAGACCTGGAAGATTTCGTTTCCATATTTAAATGGGGTTTTTTTTTGCCTTTATAATACTTTCTGCCTCGGGATAGTACTCTATTCTCTCTAGCATACCATCCCCCACAGAACAGATGTCATTTTATTTTTCTGAGACCTGTCTTCTACTGGGGAAAGTAAAGGAAGATTCAGCCCACTTGACTTTTGTTAAACTTTCAAGCCAAATGGTGTGGCTGTCAACCGCAATATACCAGGCTCACAGTCAAATATCTATAATTTCAATTATGCATTCTATTTATTGGATTTTTATTAGACTTTTGGAGCTTACGTGGTCTTAAGAAATAGACAGATGTCCTCCTTATTTGTTCCTGTATCTCCAAAATACCCAACTTCACTTCTTCCTAGCCAATTAGCACAACACACCTGATGTTAAAGACCGTGTGTAATATACCATCAAGTCCTTGACAAAACTGGCAGGCAAAATCTGGAGTTCAATGATCTGTCATTTAATGATGACAGCCGATGCTATAGGGGACACAAAATATTTTTTACCAGAGAAAGAGAGAGTCACACAAGCTAGGAGTTAGAAGCATGGCTGGCTTCCAAAAAGGGAGGTCCTTTTTCCTTTTGCTTCCTTTTATCTCTCCCTGTGCTAATTTACTTGTCACCGCCCTCATGGGCAGATACCTTTGTGTGGTTCACTCCTACAATTCCCCTTTTAGTCTAAATAGAAGATTTAAATTTGAAACAAACTCAAACATATACAACATATATGCATAGAGGGTGATAATTAAGTTATAATCTACTTATTCTAAGCTAAACATATCCGTTCCACCTAAATTCTAAACTTATCTGAAAGGGATGCCTAAGTCTGAACACCTCCTTACAATCCCAACCCTAAAATAATTGAAAATTAACACTAACAGGTGTAAACTATCCTCTAATATCAATAGTAGGGAGAAGGGACGTGGAATTCTCAAATTTACTTCCTGCTGAAGTGGGACTATGGCAATCATGGGGACCTGTGGGAAGAAAATGTTAGTGTAACAAGAGTCTTAAGTAGGTTAATTAGTCTCTGTTTGGCAGGAGATGCTTGAATGAAGTTCGTGATTAGAGTTCTAATTTTGATTGAAGCTCTTATCTGAAGCTCTGGTCAGATTGTAGAAGATGCACTGTATCAGTTCCTTGGTCTGGAGATGTGTCGAGTGATGTAGTTCCAAGCTGGTTTCAGGATGGTGCTTGTCAGGTGGGGTTGATGATGTGGGACCGTTCAGATGCATCCAGTCGAATCAGGCAGAGTCAAGGAAGTGAATCCCCATTCTCTTTCTGAAGCAGTTGAAGATTGCTTGCAGGAAATCAATTTTCTCTGGAAAACTGAAACATTAATGTTAGCACAGAAATTATTAACTTTTATATATATGTATACTGGGAAAGGCAAACCTAAGGAAGATAATAAACATGAAGGAGATTAGAATTTTAGAAAAAGAACCAAGTATACACAGATGACAGTCCCTATTTTTGTTTTCTTCTGTCTTATGTCAATGGCTCTTTGATATAATACAGAAAGTCTGAATTGTATTTTAACAATATGCTTGGGTTTAAAGCAGGAGAACCAATCCAACTCTAAAGCCAGCGTTAATTAGATGAATTGGGACTAAGGCATATTAAGAAGCAAAGAAAATAGAAATTATAACCCACTTCTAACACCAGATAATGATGACAGCCGATGCTATAGGGGATACAATATATTTTTTACCGGAGAAAGAGAGAGTCACACAAGCTTGGGGTTAGAAGCATGGCTGGCTTCCAAAAAGGGAGATCCTTTTTCCTTTCGCTTCCTTTTATCTCTACCTGTGCTAATATACTTGTCTCCGCCCTCGTGGGCAGATAGCTTTGTGGGGTTCACTCCTACAGTCATTTGATATGGTCTCCTCTGATGATTCTGTTGCAGAAGCAGAAAACGTTTGAGGAGGGGTAAATGATTCGTTGAAAATAAGCTACCACCAGGAGAAGGGCTGTTCAAAAGAACAAGAACTGCTATTTTCAAACACTTCTGTTTTCTGCCAAGTTCAACGTATGACTTTGGTAAAGAGTCTCCCTGGATTACAAGGAAACTTTTGTTTTCTCCCACCAAGAAGATAACGATAAAGGCTCTTTCTCATCCCAAGATTGACTATGTGATTGATTTCAGACTTTATTGCAGTAGAGATTTGAAGGGTATTTGGCTGTTGTGGAAGGGGTGGCTGAATGTGACTTGTTGATTCCAGAGAATGCTGGTTGTGGAAGGGGTGGCTGAGTTTGACTTGTTGGATCCAGAGGGTGCTGGATCACTGACCCTAGAGTAATGTCTCCCTGCTCCTCCAAGCTCCTTTCTAGATTTTCACTTGGCTGTACTACTCCCTACCGCCCCCTTCTGGCTGGGCATGAGCTACCCACGATTGCCATGATCTCCCAGCCCTAATCCTCACCCTTCCACACCTCCCATCACTCCTGCCATTTATAGTCATTCCCGTTCCGCCTCCTCTTCCAACACCACCCTCAGAACCTCCCCCTCCAGCCCTGCTATCCTTATCCTCCACGGGACTTGTCGCTCAAGGCCCACAAGCCTACACTAGGAGCTGGCTCGCGGAAGCGTCACCACTCTAGCTCTCGCTGCACCTTCGGCCCTACCACCCATCCTCCCGAGCTCGCTCGGCTCTTTCCGCCCGACCTCGCGTCGTTCGCCGGGTCACGCAGCTCTCCCCTCCTTTGCCGCCAACGCGCTCAGGAGTCCGCAGGCTCCCTGCCGATCGGTCGCCTAGCCTCTGTCTCCGTGCGATCCGATGCTCCAGGCCGATACCGAGGCGCCGTCCTCTCCCGCCGGGCAGGAGACGCCACAGCCGGCAGGGCCCTCCGACTGCTCGCCGCCCACCATGGCCCCTCAGCAAACAGGTAGCAGGAAGCGGAAAGCCGCCAATGGAGAGGAGGGCGAGGGGAGCTCGTCATTGCCAGGCCCGTCCGCGGCGATGGAGATGGCGATGGCGATGGCGACAGCCGAGGAAGGCCAAGCCGAGGGGTCCTTGCTGCTGGCCAAGAGGCTGCGGCGGCCCGTGGCTCAGCACTCCTTGGTGCACTACCTGAAGGCCCGCGCACTGGGCGCAGACGGCCACCCGGGGATGGCGGGCTTCGAGGGTAACCTGCGCAGCTACGGGGTCCTCAGGCTGCCCGAGCTGCTGAGGGAGCGCCAGCTGTCTCTCGGCCCCCTCAACAAGGTGTTCGCGTCGCAGTGGCTCAATGCCAGGCAGGTGGTGTGTGGCACCAAGTGCAACACGCTCTTCGTGGTGGATGTCAAGACCGACCACATCATGCGCATTCCTCTGATGCGCGACAGGGTGCCCGACCTGTCCCATGGCCCGCCCTCCTGTGGAATCCATGCTGTGGAGCTGAATCCCTCCAAGACCCTCATGGCCACTGGAGGGGAAAACCCTAACAGCCTGGCTGTATACCAGCTGCCCACGCTGGATCCCGTGTGCCTAGGAGATTGCCAAGGCCACAGGGACTGGATCTTCGCCATCGCATGGATGAGTGACACCGTGGCCGTGAGTGGTTCCCGTGATGGCACCGTGGCTCTCTGGCGGGTGGATCCCGACATGTTCAATGGCAGCATTGCTTGGCACAAGGATGCGGGCCTTCCTGTGTATGCTCACATCCGTCCTAGAGATGTGGAGGCAATCCCCAAAGCCACTACCAATCCAGGTAACCGCAAAGTGCGAGCCCTTGCCTTCAGCAACAGAAACCAGGAGCTGGGAGCTGTGTCTCTGGATGGCTACTTCCACCTGTGGAAAGCCCGGAGCAACCTGTCCAGGCTGCTGTCACTGAGGCTCCCTTACTGCCGGGAGAACGTGTGTCTCACCTACTGTGAAGAGTTGGCCCTCTATGCTGTGGGATCCCAGTCTCATGTTTCATTCCTGGATCTGCGCCAAGGCCAGCAAAATATCCCACCACTGTGCTCCCGAGAGGGAGGCACTGGCGTGCGTTCTCTGAGTGTCCACCAGCATATCGTCACAGTGGGGACAGGCCATGGTTCTCTGCTCTTCTATGACATCCGTGCCCAGAAGTTCCTTGAGGAGAAGTCTGCAACCGGTCCAGACTTGTTTCCTGCACCTTCTGGAAGGAAGCTCAAGCTCACCTGTGGCAGCGGCTGGATCAACCAGGATGATCTCTTAGAGAATTACGTTGCTGGTGTGGAAGATTTCCCCAATGCCCTCTACACTCACTGCTACAACTGGCCAGAGATGAAGCTCTTCGTGGGTGGAGGACCACTGGCCTCAGGCCTCCATGGCAACTATGCAGGCCTCTGGAGCTAAGGTTAGCTGATCTCCTCACAGTATGGGTTTATCTTTCAGTTCAATCTAACTGTACTTAATGTTGCAACTACTGTTTTAACTCTGTCTTTTCTTTTTCTTTTTTCTTATTCTCTTCCAGGTGGAAATGACCCTGATAAACCAGTGTGCTTCTTAGCAGAGAGACAGAGATGGAGCGGTTAGAAGTCGCTTAGAGAAATTTTCTGCACCTGTCCACCATTCTTTGGACTTTTCATACAAATACTTTCCACTAATTCCTAGCAGTGTTGTCTTTGAGTGAGTGATCCATGTGATCTATCTGTGTAAGCAAACCGTGTTATGACGTTAGAATTGTATAAGTGTTGTGTTGTTTTACTAGTAGCAGTTTTAAAGATAATGTTTTTAGTTTTCATCACATATGTGTGGTATATTAAGAATATTTTCTAATAAACAGAGTTCGGGCATCTGTGGTGGAGCACTAACCATAGTTTTATAGCATTGTTCCAATTGTAAAATACATTCCATGTTCCAGATTGCCTACTTTTGGAAATATGTCACTCATGAATTGTGATCATGGTGTATATAGTTTGTATGTTGTTGGTGCAAAACGCACTTTTCTAACAGTTTATTATCTGAAAATAGTTGTCATAGAATCTTGTGTCTACATCAAAATCTCAGTTGATGAGGATGGTTTAGGTATTCAAGTGTTCAAGTGTTCTGCTAATTTGGACTTTCAAAACTAATCCAAAAATCAGTGTTTTTAGTTCAAGCCTTATTTTAGTTTTATGCTCTGTCTTATTATTGATCAAAGAATGTACTTATTTTCACTTCTTGCCTTAGTACTATCAAGACGTGTGGATATATTTGAATGTTTGTGGTTGGGGCAACTCTACAGAGTTTCAGTGCCATCATTCGGCGCAGGGATATTAAGTATAAATGGAGAATGTATGGCAGATGGGGCAAAGAATACATTGCCCTAAGGTATAGACTGGATATTTTTGCTGTTGCTATTTTAATACCAAATGTTATATTTGAGCATATTTTAAACTTTCAAAAATCTGTTTGAGTTAAGTTAAAAGAATAATGCAAGGAAGAAAATGAGCCCACCCAGCTCACTGTGAAAGAAATTCCCCCTCTTTATAAGCTCCAAATTAATTAGATTATATTTTGTGAACTTCAAAGATCCATAGAAATATGTGTTACTAAAGCCTCTACTTCTATGCCTCTAAATGTAGTAAGATGTGATTATGATAATTCACTATGATTTTCAAATAAAGGAGCTGGGAACTTAAAAGACAGGTATGATTGAAGAACTTTGTCATTCAGATAAATAGAGGTAATGGGATGCTAGACAGATGTATTGGACTTGTTCACAGGTGAGAATACTGAAAAGTGAGAAAGGAGCCAGGCCTTGCTCAAAACTAGCCAGAATGTGTTAGGCCTGGATTGGTATTGAGCCATGTTTCCTTTTCCTTAAACATCTGGCATGCATTTGCATTAGTGTTGCTACACTACATGTTGTTCAGTACCAAGCATAAATTGCCGAAAGGATTTAAAGATGAGTTAGGAGTACAAAATTGTCAGATTTTATTTTATAGAGAGTATGCAGGTTTATTTCACAAATTATAGAGTTTTGCTACATATCTGTGCATTTATTGCTTGCATGTATGTTTCAAACTCTGTTAGAAGTGATTTGAGAGCAGAGATTGTAAACTGCCCTCTTTTATTTCTGTACTTGTAAACTAAGGCCAGACAAAGGCAATCAGTTATTACTGATTTTTTTTGCCAGTGGAAACCTGCACTTCAAATTGTAATAAATATTTGCTGTTGCATAATAAAGAACCTTGCTATGTGTTTCCCATGCTTGTTTTTCTTTAAATTTCCCCTAATTCATTTTCAGGTCATGCTGTAGTAATTCATACATTCATAATTGATATGTGCTACTTAGAAGATGAACAAAAATTTATGTCTCATACATAATTGAATATTAATTCTTCAAAATGAGAAAATTTCAAATTTGAGGATTTCCTTAAAACATTTGGCTTATTTTTACCAGAAGTAAATTTGAATTTTTTGTTTATAGGTTTTTAATTTAGAAGTAATACATTTTTAAAACATATAGTCAAACTATTAGCTGCCTATTTTCTTATGAGTAGTAGGGTATTAGGGGGTACAAGTGAAGTAAGTTGGGAAATAACAAAAAATTCTTCTAAATTGGATAACATTTAAAATAAATAATAGAAGGCAAGGATTTGGCCTGTTTCATCTCTGAGTTTTTCTTTAACATAATCACTATTCACTTTAAATTTATCATACTATAAGGTGTATTTTTTTAAAACAATCACAAGGCTTGGCTGAGTTTTAATAGTGTAAATACGAATGTAATTTTTAAAAATTTGTAATAATTTTAAGTTACTTAATTCTATAGTTAAGTGTTTTATTGCAGTACATGTATAATATTTTATTATATTTTATAATATATATTTATTATTTCATGTCTTCACACATATGTACTACGTGTTTTGATCAAACCAACCCACCTGCATCCCCTCCAAATTTTCCAGAATTAGAAGTCCTCCTTACTATGTCTCTATAAACTTCATGTATTGTAATTTTCATCCCACTGAGTGTAATTAATCCTGCTAGTATGTACCAGGGTATAGGACCAACTACTGGAGGTGTAGTTCTCAAACTGAGTTGTAACCCTCTTGAGGGTCATATATCAAATATGGCACATATCAGATACTTACAGTTCGTAACGGTAGCAGAATTATAATTATGAAACAGAAACAAAATAATTGTATGGTTGGGGGTCCCCACAAAATGGGAAACTATACTAAAGGGTAGAAGCATTAGGAAGGGTAAGGACCACTATACAGGAACATGGGCTACATACCAGGACCTCAGCCCTGAAGAGCACTGACTTTCCATCCCCCACAATGTCTCAGCTATCAAGAACTTCTCAGCTACATGTGGGGCTTTGTGAGCATAAGGAAGAAACTAATAAGCAGAGTTCACTTAAATCTGCGTGAACAACTACCCATACCACTCATTTATTTCCTTCTGCAAGTGTATTTATTTTCCAGCATTTCATCCTTTGAAATGAATTACTTTCTGTAATATTTAAGGCAAAAGAAAAGGTTTTTGAAATGGACATACTCACTGAGGGGTTTAGGAGGTGACTCTGTGGGTAAATATGCTGCTTTGCAAGCATGAGAACTTGCATTTGGAACCTGAGAATTCACAGAAAACTCCAGACACATGGATGTGTATTTGTGTACCTGGAGGGCAGAAAAAGGTCCTAAGACCTTGCTGGGCAGCCTGTTCAAAAGGCTAGCTTCTGGCTCCAAGGTAAACTGCAATAGAGGAAATCAAATATTTTCTCTGACCCCCACATACATTGACATGCACCAGCACACTTATTAACATACACCATGCACATGGAAGGCATAAATTCACACACACACACACACACACACACACACACACACACACACACACACACACACACACACACCACTAAAGCAGGTTAAAGAAATTAAACTTCCTCACCTGGCAAAAACACGCATGTTACTTAACTTAAGCACTAATGACAAACAAAATTTAATACTCCAGAGGCTGATTTTTTATCTGCCTATACTTAATGTTGAACCAGTTTCCAAAAATATTGCATTCATCACCAATTTAAAGTATTTTTGGAAAAACAATTCACCAAACCCTCCTGGGTGGTTTTCTAAGAGCTTTTCGATCTCTGCAAGCATGTACCTTAGCTACATTAAGCATGTTCCCATGTGAGCAGCTCAGCGATGCAGTACAGCCAGCAAGAACATCATGTAATAATAGGAAAGGGAGAATAGAGATGTACAAGCCACAGGTATTTCCTTTCAGGGATGTTATTTTTAAATCTCCTCAAAAGGCTGCCTAGAAGTACTTCTCACTGCTAGAACTATTAAAAGCTCAGAGGCATCTTGCTTTAGAATTTGCCATCAGTGAAAGAGCACGGTGATTTTAGGAGGAAGACTGCCACAAATTAGACTTAATCATAGCAATCAAGGTTCTTTAAATACTGTTAATTTTATACAGTCAATGATCTTTATATGTTCTTTCTCTGTTTTTTTTTCTTTTCTTTTTTCCTACTTACTATTCTATGAATTCATTTACATAGCTAAGCCCTATTCAAGCTTCAGTTGTGATTTTTTTCCATTATGGTCTGTATTATTACACTTACCAGATTATAGTGGAGTGCCTTAAATATACTTCCCCTCCCATTGACTATGAACTTTGTCATTCTGACACCTAGTATTATAGGCAGAATATACATGGTAATGAGTTATCCAATGAAAATACTAGAACACCGGCTCCATCACACAAATAATAATAATAGCAACAATAATAATAACAGTTATTGTTGTTGTTGTAAATTTGAGACACTTGGTGTTAAACCCAGGGCTTTGCACTTGTTAGGTAAAGTGTTTTCTCACTGAGGTACATCCCCAAGACCTATATTATTATTATTGTTTTTTTTCCAGACAGGGTTTCTCTGAGGCTTTGGAGGCTGTCCTGGGATTAGCTCTTGTAGGCCAGACTGGTCTCAGACTCACAGAGATCCACCTGCCTCTGATTCTCGAGTGCTGGGATTAAAGGCATGAGCCACCACTGCCCAGCATATATTTACTTCTTATGTGTAAGTTGCCAATGTGGCTTGGAACTCATTTTGTAGCCTAGACAGACCTTGATATGGCAATCCTGCTTTAATACTTGGGTGGCCTGATATTAGAGGTCTTCTTCACCAGGCTTAACTCACAAATGATTTTGATAAAATATTGATCAATGTTCATTGTTCAAGCATGGGACAAGGTTGACAGATGCAGACTCTTTAAGGCAGGGTTCAAGTTAGTGATCATGTTAATTAATAGCACTAATAATGTGGATATGACAGCTGATTATTCATTGTATTTTTTTGCCCAGGGATAATACTGGATTTGGAAGACCAAAATTGAATGAAATACAATGATAAAAATGTGGATTTGAGTTCCATTGATGCCATCCACTTATCAAATCACCATAGTTGTCTAAATTCTCTAAGCTTAAAATTTTATTACTGAACTCTCCATAATCTGACATTTTGGCTAATACACATAGGCATAATGACTCTCTTCCTTTCTGGGTGCCAATTTATAATGGCAGAGAAATATGTATTTTTACTTATTACAATAGCTATGTCCAATTTGGACAATTACATGTAAAATAAAAGTATAAAACCACTACCACTAATTAAAGATTACTACTGGCAACAAGTTAGTGTCTATCACTAAGATAGTCTTGTGCATATATGTATATGTATGTATGCATGCATACAAACCTATGCAGTTGCTACTCCAAATGACAATATTTTGCATGAATTATAATTCAAGCTCATTTTTAAATTAATGGTTCTACTTATTCCTGTTAATTATTATTTATTGATTTAAATATAGGGTGTGATTACTATTGTTATTGTTGTGATGATGAAGATGTGTGTGTGCGTGTATGTATACATATGCATGTACAGGCATACATGAGTCACAGCACACGTACAGGAGTGCAGGGGGGCAGGAAACAAAAGAGAACATTTTAGAAAATGGCTTCACTCTTTCCAGTGACTGATCAAGATACTCAACTCAGGAAGTATAATTTGCTTCATAAGAGATTTTACACATTGGTCCATGGGGAGTTTTTAATGTATATATGATCAGTTGTAAAGTAGAATATTTGAAGTACTCAGAAAATTATTGTTATTACTAGAAATTATTGTAATGAAACATCACACACTTAATCAAATATGACACTGTATACTAATGTATTCAGGATTCCTAAAAAGCATTTACCGGTGGCAATTTCTCTCTAAGTATATGCCTAATTTGGTTATTTTCGTACAGATGCCAATTGGAACCTCTTAGACGAATTTTGCAAATCGGGAGATCAAGCCTCAACTGAGACTAACCATTTTATCAATCAAGTTAATTTGAACAAAAATTAAACAAGATAATTTACAAAAAGAATATCTGTATACATAAGTTTATGGTACAGCTAATTTTGAAAAGTTAAATATTGAATTTTGAGTATAAAGCGAGTAACCAAATTTTTTCATTTGTGGTCATGGAGAATTCCAAATATATCTACTGCCTACATTTTTCTGGAAATGAAAATAAATATAACAAAAGAAAACCAATATTAACTTGGATGAATATTGTGAGAGTCTGAGATACGCGAACACATATATTCATTTGAGGTTGCTAAGGAAGGCCTTTATATTATTTGAAGGACATGTCAAAATTCAGATATATATGGATCTAGAGTTCATAAGAGGGTATAGGCTTAGAAGTGCAGTGCTAGAATGATCACTACATAGAGATACTATATGAAAGAAGTGTCTACAAGATAGGTCTTCTGAACCTCATTGAAAACTCATGTCTTTAATAATGGTGGACATTGACATATGCATAAATTACTTCGTGGCTGACACATTATAATAGGTAATTAGTAGTTTACAATTAAATGTCAAATGAAATGTTTATTTACTAATAACTAGCTTTTAACTTCTCATTTTGTAATCACATTAACTTAAAGAAGATAAGATAAATGTATCAAATGGCTCTATGTTTTAAATTAGTTAAATTCAAATTTTTATTTTTTTGTGTTTGTTCATCTTTCGTAGAATTTAGGTCATTTTATATTTGGGCAAGATGAAAAGTAAATATTGATAATGTCTTCCTTACCAATGACTGTTTTTTTTTATTTTGGTGGGAGAATTCAATGAAGCTAACACATTGATGATATCAATGAGAGTAACAATGTTATTCGCAACTTATTCTAA